CCCCGTGTTCACATCGTGCGTTTCCTGCTTGAGAAGCACTCGTGGCTCGCGATCGATGCGGGGAGAGAGGTAGAACTTCTCTAGATTGCATCTTTCAGAACTGCAGACTTCTTATATTGTACTCACTAGAAGTCTACACTACGGCAGTGGCAAAGTTTCTACACTACGAGCAACTATATAGCTAGGACGAATTCATCCGCTAACTGGAGGATTATTTTAGCAGCTCGCTGCTCAATTCAGTAGTTTCTCAAGGATTCTCTGAACAGTATCAGGAAAAAGCCAAAGCAGTACTCTAATAACGAAACCCTGACCGCGTGCGCTGTTTGCTGCCCCCTTACACATACACATCACTTACACGCGCTAGTGTAGAGAGGCAGTAAGAGCTTGTCCCGTCTGGGGCGGCCACTCGCAAGCCGATGTGTAGGTCGGCTCCGAATCCCACGTCCAAAGGATAAGTAACGCCCACCTCATATGCACTACCCTTACGAGACTGAGTCGTCAGGAAACATGAAAGAGTCGCGGGTAAGTGCGGGCGTGTGTGCGCAGGTGGACTACCTGCCGCTGGAGGAGACGCTGCCGGCGCGGCGGCTGGTGCTGACGGCCGAGGACCTGGTGCCGCACCCGGTGTGCCGCGCCGCCTACACCGACGTGCTGCTGTCGCTGCTGTACGTGGCGTGCCTCATCGTGTTCGTGGCGGTGCTGGCCATCAAGTCGCGCGGCATCCGCGACAACTACCGCGAGGCCACCTTCATCGGCCTGGCCGTGGGCTGCGTCATCCCCATCTGGCTGGTGTGGGTGCTGAGCGGGCTGCTGGTGGCCGACCGCCACCGCGACGCCTGCCTCGCCTTCGGCCTCGTCGCCACCGCCACCGTCGTCTTCCTCGTCATGTTCATGCCCAAGGTCAGCAGCGCCTGCGGAATATTTCTCACTCTATCCCACTCGTGGAACTAAAACCAATGGTGTTTAACTGTACAAACAAAATAACCCAATCAGGGCCCATTTCTACCCGATTCTTTTTTACCGCTGCTCCCTACAGGCCAATCATAAACTGTAACTCATCTATCTCACGAGGCGGTATAATATTTGGCCCATTTTGGAACTATCTTGGAAGTAATTTCATTCGTGGAGTAGTCCCATGAAATTCCATTCGTGCTTCGGAAATGGTCAGATAAATCCCCTCCTCGCTTCTCGAGTCGGAGTTTTATTGACAATTTCCAAACACTCGTGGTATACCTATGATAAATTACAGGAAAACAATTGCTGATCCACGATGGTAAAGAATTCGATCGCAAACATGGAAGCCAATTTCTTCTAGTCCACATCCATAACAAGCGTTGATAAAAGTTCTTCAGTGTTTTAGGTAATGCCAAGTAATCTATGCGACTGCTGAATCGGGTGTAATTCACATTGTTTTAAAGAGGATTTTCGAAACGTTAAGTCTATGGTTTTCGTAAGAAAACTATTTTTGAAAAAGACGTTTGTAAATGTTTACAAATATTACATTTCTTGAACTGATTTTGCAGTCAATTTTGGAGAACGAGTAAATATTTCTAGATTAACTAACCCTTAAACTGTTGATTCCTACTGTTCCCTGAAACATTGAGTGAAGGTTGCTTTCTAAAATTATTTTCGAATTGTGAAAAGTCTTAACTACGTGATAACCTCACTTGCCTTATCATGTAAACATTTTTGTTTTTAAAAGAAGAAACATGCGAAATTATTACTCAGGAAAATATTGTAAAATTAAGGTGTTTCATTTTCTTTGATTTTCAGTTGTGTTCGTGTGGTGAAATGTGGCTCTCCTTGTACCTTTCGACAGAGAGTCTGGGGTAATCGAAAAAAAATGACATTATATTACAAAGAGACAATTACTACTTAATTAGCTTTTACATCATCGACGTTCACACGACACGTGTGTGAAACGAACAGCGCTCACCTAGTATTTCCCATTGCCCCTGAAGACATCAGCTCGTCACAATCGTACGTTCACAGCATGACACTGAAATAATTATTGTTCTGGGGATGGCATTCGTAAGTCAGATGTTGGCATAATTAGGCGGGGACGAGAAAGTTGGCTAGTGAAAAGTAGTGGCGCTACAACAGCACATATTTTCTCGTGTTATTGGAAACAGCTATGTAATATTGAAATATAGCGTTTTCTGTGCCACTAACACCTCAGCTAGTATTAGGAAACTTGCAAATCAACCAAGAAGAGAGTAACGCCCTTTAGATATTAGATGATGTTAAATGATATATAACATACCTCACTGGGCATTCTGAGGAGTAATTTACACAAGACTGCTGCGACATCCGTCGCAAACGAAGGTACTGGCTCTCGGTCTCAAAGTTACACCACCTGCTGGACTTAATAAAACAGCTGTATCTTATCACCAATTAGTTTCTCAAATATCGACGCCGCATTGCCGCGTTATATCTATTGAGCTTTACAGATTACTTAAAAAGAAACACATCAATACATTGAGAATACAAATTTAGTAAATAGAAAAGAAGCGAGAGTATAAAAATAGAATTAATATTGGTATATATATATATATATAATATATATTTATATATATATATATATATATATATATTAATTTCAAGCAGAAATTACGCGAAAACTACTAATAACTTCACAAAATTGCATAGACCTTTTTTTATAAAGTTTATTTTGAACAATAGGGGGGTCTCTAGCAAGGAGGAAAAAATTGAAATATTAACATAAAGGGAGGAAAAAGAAATACAGTGAATTTATGGGAGAAAATTGATAAAGAGTATGAAATAAATAATAAATAAATATTACGTATACATTTTACGTATTTTAGAAGTGACGATTCGTATAGCACTTCTAGGGAGATCGTTTGCACCATTTGCCGCACAGGTTTCTTTCACAATCCGGCGAAGGAAATTCGAAAAACATTCTTCTCACACTGCCTGTGATGGAACCCATTGTTCTGTAATACTTTATATATTTAATACTTATTCTGTAACATATTGAATATATTTCCGTTACAACCCCTTTTAATCAATTACACATTCACCGTGTGCATGGACATCTGTCCGTGTGACCAATGTGCCACGTGGCCCGGCTAGCTCAGTCGGTAGAGCATGAGACTCTTAATCTCAGGGTCGTGGGTTCGAGCCCCACGCTGGGCGTTACTTTTTTACTCTTTTAATTCTGCTATGAAACACCTTGAATGATTGATCATGTTTCTTTTTGTATACTGTGTTCTGAATATTATCATTCAAATGCATTTTTGCACAAACTGTTAATTTTAGGAATATTTTAGTTGCCGAGATCTAATACCTAAAATAGCTCTGGTTCATTGCGTTACCACGTCTATAATAAAGTCCAGTAACAAATAATAAGAATCACTACATTTGGTATCCTACAAGTTGTGAATGTTGGAGAATGCGACTCGCGCCTCCCAATAGCCGTGATCGTCTAGTGGTTAGGACATTGCGTTGTGGCCGCAATAACCCAGGTTCGAATCCTGGTCACGGCAGTGGAAACACTGTCACGGCAGAGGCATTTTTGTTCAACTTCCTTCATGTCTAGTTTATTTTTATCACGAAATAAGTGATTCGAAATTACACTATGCCAGAATTGACTGACAACTGTACAGAAAATTGATTGACTGCCAGAGTGCTGCAACTCCCTTAATATCTCCAATTGAACTTTTGAAAGGGCTCTCGAATCGCTATGGATTCATACATATATTATACAGTTGTGTCAATTTTCAATCCACTTAAGATTTTGTTTCATAAGGTATTTGCCATAAAATAATTTAATTTATTGAAATGTTTAAATAAATTTGTAAATTAGACAAATATATTTCCAAGTATAGTTCGTCAAAATATTGGTATTCTAATGAATTGATAATATAAAACAACATACAAGCTAAAATTCCCGTTTTGTCTGAGGAACAGACATTAGTTTATATTCCCAATTCAAATTAGTCAGATCATAAATTTAAGGTTTATGTACCTGATTTATATTTTCGAGGAAAATAATATGTGTAATTAAATAATTTTTGTTTTCCAAAAACTATAAGGAAACAGGAAGTACAGATATGGCCCTAATAAACATCAAATATTTACCTGAGTCTTAGATACGACAGTTCTGTTTTTATTAATAAAGCCCGCTAGTGTATTTTTACGCGCACGTTTTCTTGAGCCCAACCCCCGCACCTTTGCCAACATTAATTTAATCGAGAACAAATGATAGCAACGAACGTTTTAGACAAAAATCTGAAAACCAGAATGTTCGCTTCCGTGTATTATCAACTATTTTGCATCGAAAAAAGAATAAATTTGATGCAAAATTCCTTTCGTCAAAATAACCCCACTCCCCACTCTAGCAAGTAGCGAAGCGAAGGCCCAAGAAAGCTTGCGCGGGTAATACCTAAACTTCTACCAGCGGGCTGTGTTATCAGGAGTGACGAGCGTGCGTTTAACGCCTTTGGCGCGCTCTGTGCGACAGGGGCGGCAACTGGCCGCCATGGGCAAGGAAGGTGTCTACGTGGAAGACCGCGAGGAGCGCTTCAGCACGCTCAGCCGCGCGGGCTCCGGCTACTCGCCTTCTTTCTACCACTTCAAGCCCGTCAAGTACAGCGCGGCGCCGCTTGGGGCGCCCGCGCCACCTCCGCCGCCGCCGCTCGCCGCCCCGCCCCCTCATCCACATAAGCAGCCCGCCACTGCAGTCACAACCATTGCAGGTAGGCGCCCATCCTCTGACCCCCCACCCTGAGCCGCGCACCACCACCCAGAGGGGGCGTTTGCTCCAAAACGCAATTTAAAATTCTTCCAAATTTGCCGTCAGAAAATGAAAAATATTTAAAAAATGTTCCAAGAACTAATTTTAAACAATTTAAATTATATTTTGCTCAAGATGAACCTTTTATTTTTGTTACTTTCATTATTGTTTAAAATACTGAAAGGTTGCTTTTTTTTTTTGAATGCCGTCTGGGTGGTCCTGTTAATGCATGATGCATCTTGGCCGACCTACTCAACTATGAGCCTACCACTCCTATAACTTTTAAGTGCCATTCACCAAGAGCACAACTTGAATGTTTCCAGCAATGTTTGATGAACTGCACATATTGTGACCAAATGAATAGAAAGAATTATTTTGAAAAGGTTGATATAGTAAAAAGAAATAGGTGGAACTCTTGAAGAGTATTGTATAAATGTTTTGTGTAAATATAACATTAGGAAAGTATTACGTGATGTGAATGATTGAGTTCTTCCCCTTTTTCTTCTTTTGTTTTGCAACTGAATCAAAAGAGAGTGATACATAAATACTTATTTTTTCTATAAATTTTTTAAATTATCTTTTTTTGAATATTTTTGTATTTGTGGAATGTTAATTGTTCAGATTTAACAAAAAATTAAATATTTTTACATTTCACAATTTTATCCTCCATACTCTGTTGATTATATTTATCAAAACATAATGTGTTCAAAATTTATATTGATATTGATTAATTTTCATTATATGAAAAATGATTTCATAACCTTCCAAAAGGTATTAACCAGACACCAGAGTGAAAATAAATTAATGTAGAATTTGCTACTTTTAACAATCTTGGTGTCCTATTTCTTTTGAACTCTTTTCCCAACCAACCAGGAGATATTGCCTCATTTTCACTTCTTTTGTTTCTTGTTCAGAATCATTGGCAAATGGAAGTCAAAAATCAGTTAATGAACAGTTTGGAGAAACACTAGAAAAATAGAATCTGGATAGACGTCCTGAAAATATTGAAGAACATAAAAAGTTTCAAACCAATTTTTGCAGTGGTGCTTTTTGTATGTTGTCTCTGCCATCTACTGGAACAGGAGAATCAAGTGAACAGCAGTGAAGCTTGTGTGCACTTTGCTAACTGATTGTATGATTAAATTTGTCCCTATCCACTTACAGCTATTAGAGATAGAGGAAGCAATAAAAGAAAGTAATTTCCAAGACATAAGATTGAAAATTCTTAATCTGTATATTGTCTCTCATTAAACTTATGCTTGACTATGATCTTTCAGAAAAAAAAAATAAACTCTTGGTTGAAATGACCGTATTCTTTCTTACATGAAATCACCTGTTTATAATAAATTTGGGTTTTTGAAGATTGGATGGGAGTGCAAGGGATAGCAAAGGAGCTTGTTGATATTGGGAATGCAGGCTGGCATATGTCACATCAGCATGAAACATCACCATTGGGCCTTCTGGGAAATCTCTGCATTCCTTTATTTATTCTTACCTATGTGACTTCTTTTGACCTAATAACCTTAACTCCTAACTGCCAATGATTGTCTCCATTATCTTCTCCAGTCAGATAAAAACTGCAAAAGAAGATCTTCAAAAAAGAATAAAAGTTAGTAAAGCTCTAAAGAAGCATCTATTAATTAGACATGATTTCATTAAAAGACAAGATCACTCCAGCACCATTTTTAGAGTACTACTACACTCAGGAAACATTTGAAGGTAGCAAAAATTTAAGCTTTCAATTGAATGGCAGTTATCTGACTGGAGAATCGATATTGTTTTGGATTAAAAACTATTAGTATTAATTTTTGTTTGCTATGTTTTCAGATCAACTACAAGGAATGTACATTTTTTACTTAATTTTTATTATGGATTGATCTCTATGTTAAACAAATTTACGTATTATAATTTCAGATCCTTCATCCCAAATGATGACCAACTCTATCAGTCAACCAAACTGTAAAGACTCTTAACTTGCAAATTTTAAAACTCACTTGAAGAATTACATATTAATTGCTATGTGTTATCCGGGACCACAGATCGTTTTGTAATCAATTAAAATTATCCATTATATTACCTTTTAATATGAATTTCAATTAATATTTAAAGTGAAGTAAAATGTTATTACATAGATGCCATTGGTATGGGGTCATTCATAACTTACGTAACACTAAAGAAGGGGGTGGGCCCTATGATACTTTTGATGTGTTATCAGTAATATTTTTACTGCTTGCTCCACTCAATCTGCAGGTGCTCCATTTTTGGACAGTTAGTTTTATTATGTCTTGAGCCACTACCATCCTATTGTAGCGTGTTTCAAAATTTTGTTGTTAGTGTCATTACCCTCCAGGGGTTTCTTCATTCCTTTTGGTCCTTAAAGACGTTCTCAGCTCAGACGAAGCAGTTTCAGCTCAGCTAAGCTTTCAACTCTCTTGTTAAGATTTCAAATTTTTTAAATGTTACGTGAAAATTTTCTTAGAATTTCTTTAGAAAATTTTATATATTTACAAACATCTTAAAACTGTTTTATTTATCTTTCCTATGGACATGTTTACACAGAATATAAACACAAAAGATTATCAACTGTAACCTTGGGCACAGTACTTGAGCATAGATTGATGAAATTTTGTGCTAATCTTAGTGGTTTGGTTTTTGGTAACACCATATGACAGATATTGTACATTCATAATAATGGCCTAGAAATTTACTAAAATGTTGAACAATTAATAAAAGAATAGTTCAGTTAAGTTAAAATCTACAACTTTATTTGGCAGCTTAACAAATTTGACAACAGACAAATAATTTTAGGGTGCCCTGAAAAACAAAAAACTTAAACCTTTTGTTCCACAAGTATTTTGTCAATCCTTTTGTTCTAACAGTATATTGTTATTGCTTTAAGTTAACAAGAAAGTTTAGCTGTAAAAGCCAATTTTTAAAAAACCCTTAATACACATTACAAATGCAGTTAAAGTGTATCTAATGCTTTGGGATTCTCTCAGAATTTGGAGAAATATGACCCTGAAATTGCCTAATCTGCCCTTTCAACATTTGTGAGTATTTGTGATATAGGAAAAAGGCACTGTGACACTTTCTCTGGGTCAGATTCTGAAAAGAAGATGCACCATTCTTAATGAAATACAACATTAATGAAAAATCACTTCCCACAGTTTTCCCTCTTTTCCAGTCGTAAACAAACCACCAAATTGCATCAACTGGTTGGACCTAATATAATTGTTGATTTTTCACTTGTTGAATCAAATATTGTTAAAATCAATCCTCACATCTGAAAAGATTCCAGATTCAATGAAATGAAAACTTTTATCAAGTTCATTGAATTTACTTTTTTCAAACTTGAAAGTAGTGAATCATGTGGCCATTGAAGAGGTAAAATGAATGGAAGATTTCAGGAAATCAATGACCAAAAATTAAGAACAAAAATCTTCAGTCTTATGAATAAAGTAGGGAAAAAATCCATGCTTTAAGAAGTCAGTTACAAGAAAATGGTTAAAGAACCGGCATCATGAAATTTGACAATTAATAGGAATATTTATGTGGTATTTGGACAATTAATTACTGTGAATATATGCTCTTTTTATCATAATATTGTATTTCAATATGTAAAACTGTAGATTTTAGCTTGTCACTTTTGATATTCTTTTTCAACATTTTACAAAGTCATTATTGTGAATGAATTGTAATTGCCAAAAGGTTTTTATGCAAAACCATCAAGCTCAGATTTTTAGTATTTAAGCTTATTGTTACTCATCATAAGTGGCTAAAGGGACAATTAATACTGATTTATTTATATTTCTCTGTAAACATTTTCATAGGAGTTTCAACTAGTTTCTACACATTGGTACTGATAAAAAAATTTCTCAAAATATCTAAAACTTTTAAACTTTTGTAACTTTTTAAAAATTTTAATGCTTTATGGGCATACTTTTCTTTTGAAATTAGAAAGCTGAAACTTCTTGAACTCTCAAAAATTGAAACAAAATGTTTACATTTACCATCATTGTGAAATAATAATGAAAGAGTAAATTTAATTAATATTAATGAGCGGGGCCATCTTTGGGCACAGGCTGAAGAGGCCCGTTACTCAGGCCCTGCAAATGATAAAAAATTTTCAAACAATACTTAGGGGCCCCAGATTTTTGAGATCCTCGAAGACACCTCTAACCAAAAGACAACTCTGCTAATGAGTCATTATTATTTCACAAAAAAATTGACAGAACATCCCAGCCTAGCACCTGAATTCATAACTTCCTGGTCAAGGTTGTAGAATACCATTCATAATGTTCTTGTCACTGCAGCTGGGTATCAAGCGCTAGGCTAATGTGCAAATATAAAGTGTTTGTATATAGAAGGACTCCCACATGTCGAGTGATGGCTTCGCACCAGGCTCTACGAGCACAAGCACCGCATGCTTGACACTTTTGTTTCAGATCGAGTGGCCTTGGTGGCAGCTCCCAGCTACACCCGAATGTATCACTACTACCCGTACTGCTATTACCCAGGTGGGTATGGGTTCACAATACCTACCCTCTTCCACCTTTTGCTTTGTATGAGCTTTGCATGTCGCTTGAAATTTCTTGCTTTTATAACTTGTGTGCTTTACTTGCCTAATAACATTAGGTATGTGTTTTATGTACATATCATTATTAAAATGTACAGAATTTACTTATAATTCATGTTTACTTAATTGATTGTGGTATGTCGTTTTCTCTATTTACTACACAAACTATAATGATTCAGAATTTTTTAACATAATGATAAATTCTATGTAGTTGTTTACAATAGTATTTGTATTTTGTGTACTGAATGGAAACAAATCTTACTTAAATTTTCATTAAAGAATTTTCTGAACATAATACACAAATTGTCTTTGTAGGTGGTGTCTATGTGAAACCTGAAGATGGAAATGTATATACCACTCTGGAGCCTACACTTTCTAGCAACCCTAATGTCTTCTTTCAACGTAGTGGAGTACATCCAGGAATGATGTACTGATGAAAAGCATATTGACCATGTTTCTACCAAAGTGGTACATTTCAAGCTTTGCTTTGCTGTTTCTGTATTGAATTTCTGACATTTTAGGATAAGCTACGTTTACTAATAGACTGAAAATGTGCAACCAGTGCTGATAAAAATAGATATTTTCACAAAATATTGTAGTGAAAATGTACCATCGTGTGGATGTAATGCTTAAGGAGACATTTAAGTGCATTTTTACATCCAACATTATGTTGGCTGGTTATTTATGTAATTTTAAAGTTACTTGTAATTTCAGGATAATAAATTACTGAAATTTATTTCTGACATATTTAAGCTTTGGGCACAATATTATGTGAACAATAGAAATAATCTCTAGTCCAAATCCAATGAAATTATTTACAATCATTCAAGTGTATGTTGAAACAATTTTTTCTCAATAACAATATTAACATTAATTAATAGCCAAATTTTTCATTTATTTTCGTTTTTGATCTGCAAGTTTGAATTCATATTTGAAATGCCTAAAATAAATGCCAGTGCTCATTACCTGAAAATACGTTTGACCATATCAATAACTTGTAAAATACTTTTATTTAATTGTGTGTCATAAATTTCAAGAATAATACTAATAATAAATATTTTCTATCTTTCTTGTGTACAAACATTAAAATCTATAACTTTCTAAATAGCTTTCAATTTTTTTCATGTTGCATATTTCATGTAAATGCTTTTAAACATTGAGCCTAATACCTGCAAAAAAAATAATGTTTTAATAAGCATTGACTGTGTAACTGTTAAAGGTAAACAAAGAAAAATTATTATAAAAAGAAGACATGCTTTAAAAGTAAACTGTGCATGAAGCAAGATTGAATGTGAAACAATGATCTCTAGTGCCCCTTTATTGTACATAAATTTATTTAGAATTAATCATACATTAATTACAGTGCCGTACCACTTCTCACAACTGGTCAATGTTGAAACTTCATGCCAAAGTGTCATCTTAATGGAGTATTTCAGATGAGTTATTAGAATTATAGAAAGTTTGTTTGTATCTGAAATTGTGTTAATCTTTTTTTAACTCGGAAGAGCATCCTCAAAACTTGCCAATATTCTTGTCAAAGAAATTTACAAGAAAATTATTGAAATGTAATTAAAAATGTTTCTCTGACTGAAACTTTTAATTATTTCTTTAAACTGATTTCACTTTTGTCAAGAGTTTCATTTTTAATGTAAGATGATTTTCAAACAGCAGGAGTTTAAAAGCGGTCAGTTCAAAAGTTATAGGAAAAAAACTATGTACAGTAAAAGAAATAATGAAGATTGTGATGAATTTTACTAATTAGGTAGTGAATATACATTGCAGTAGGACATAAAATGTGTATTACCACTGTGAACTGGAATCTTGGAAGATTAATTTTAATTAATTTGTACAAGACGTAACATTACTTAAAAGACTATTGTGATATAGCAGTGAGTACCCCAAGTTATGTGATGTGTGTTGTCAGTAACTGTGTAAGAACAATTATCTTCAACGAATAATCTAAGGACAAGACCAAAAACAAGTGCCACTATATACCATACCAGACAGAGTATATATTGTGAAACAAGAGTGCTGCAATGTGTGAATGTGTTCAATTTAGTGTGTAAGTATCTGTTCAGAAGTTGTTCATTTTAATTATGATTTTTTTGTAAAATGCTGATTGTTGTCTTGAAAAAGGCTGTGTATTTGAGACAACATCATCCTAATCTAAAAATAAGCACACTAAAATATAAATTGTGTCCAAAATGAAAAAAACAAACCTACAAATTATTTGCATGTTTTAGCTTTACTTGCAATATTGAACATAAAACTCATTTGCAATGATTGAACATAAATAAATTTTGAACAAAGAATTTTGTTCACTCCAACATTACTTCCAAAATGTGAATTTACACTACTTTATTCACAAACATTGAAACTCTTAGATAAATGTTTGCTACTGATACCATCCATAAAGGAAAACAAATGTTTTGTCTGACGCATCTAACATACCCATGTTTTACTTTTGTCAGTATAAGTGCTAAATAATATCGATTTTTTGTATGAGTACTTGATGAAAAATGAACATTAAATTTGCGAAAAAATAAAATAAGTTATTTACTGTAAAATATTTAATTACATTGACTTTGTTTCCTACACCAGTTCGTGTTGTTGACAGGGCAAAATTGTATTCCTCTTCCTTATAAATACAATCCTAGGTGGTAATAATTGAATATAGAGAATGTTTGTATTTTAGAAAACATTCAACCTTTATAAATTAATATTCATAAGTCACGTGTGCAATATATTCCTATGAAGAAAGTAGATAGTAGCTGCATGGCGGTCCGGCAGTGCCGCCGTGACTCAGGTTCGAGAGGTGCGTTGAACCAGGCGGGCAAAATATGAGGGCGGCAAAAATTGAATACTTATTTAAATATTTGAAACAAAACAAAATTTGAAAAAATATTTCAAGGAGCAATACACTTTTGTATTCATGTTTTGTGTTCACTCATGTGTGTTATTTGTAATTTACATAGAAATATAACCATAGATAGGAAAAGTTTCACATTTCTCCGGTTACATGTAATGAACAGAACAGTTTACAGGACGGGATCGAAACCGGCGTTTTTCGGATGAGTTTTTATCGATTCATTTGCAGAAATTGTTCTATGAGTCGTTTTATTTATTTCAATAATAGTATATTATTTATTGTATATGAAAAAGTGACGAGAGAAAAAAATGAGTGGACCAAAATATCACAAACGGCCATACGAAAAGTTTAAAAATGTGAAGTATAAAATAAAAGAGCCAAATGGTAAAAAAATGTAACAAAGAAGTTTCCTTCACAGCAAAAAAAAAAAGGTTTGCTGATTTTTGAAGAATATATTTTTCCATAAAAAAGTCGAAATATTGCAGTGTTTTATATCCCATTCTTGTCATACATTATGTGCCTTTTTTATTAACGAGATTAATCACGTATTAATTCGTACACATTTTTATACCGTTTTTTCTTCTTTTTTAATCTTTGCCGAAGATGACGCACTGCTTCCCTCAGCGATCGAGCCCTCGGTTCCCCGGGAACTTGTCAACACGGCGTTCGTCCTTCGGCGCGACCGGCCGATACACCAGTGTCTCGAGAGCATTGAACTGCGTCATGAAATTTTCTCTGAAGCAGAAAACATTTCTTTACGACACTTTCGTTCGACTGAAGTTCGCCAGTAAATGCTGCAAGAGTTTATTATGAAATTTCCGGGCGACAATTTTGAAGCTTGTAAAGAAACTTCGCACCCATGGAGTTTTAATTGACAGACAAGTGTTGAAAGCGCCATATTCACAGAAGAGAAGGTGGAAAAAATTATTTACAACAATCTCCAAAAAAATCTTTGAGGCATCTATTGTTACTTTCAACAGGATTCGGCAACTGCTCACTGCAACTGCTGTGGTTCGATCCATGAACTTTTAAAACAATGTTTATAGAGATCATCGAATAATTAGTGGTGGGTTATGGCCTCCTGGATCATTAATCTGACTCTTTTTCCTTACGGGATACTTGAAAGATCAAGTGTATGCACAAACCCCGCATTCGGAGGAAGAGCTCCGGTGCTCTATTGAAGAGGACTCGCAGCAATTCCTCAAGACTAACTTCAAAGGATAAATCAGAAAATGTTCCGGAGGTGCCAATAATGCATTCTAGCACCACTAGAACATTCTAGGAATCCACTAGAACATTCTAGGACACCACTTCCAGCATCTTTAAGGTAAGCTAAGCGGCGCAGCGATAGTATATATAGGCATTTCATTTTAGAATGTTATTTTACCGAGTAATTTGAGCGGAGCGGAATGGCAGGTGACTGCAGTTGAATTGAAGGAGATAATGCCACACAACTCATCTGCAGTCACCTGACGGTCACCACAAACAATGTTATCGACTTGCTAAATGTTGCGTGGCGTGACTGCAGCCACCGACCTACCACTCTCATTTTCTTCAGCCAAAAGTGTTTGTTCTTCAGCTTCGTTACAAGGACGAATCCATCGTCTAATAGTGCAGACATCCACTGTTACATCACCGTACACATTTTTCAGTGTTTCATAAATGAGAATAGGCATTTCGCCTTTTGCATTCAAGAATTAAATCACACAACGCTGTTTCATACGAGCTGTACGTTATATACTCTCTGCGCTGTCTCATACGAGCATCGATGACGGCCTTTTTTTTTTATGCGCCTGCTGTGCTATCACATATTGTGCAGAAAGTTACTACTGTGGTGGATTGCAGAAGAAGGTTTCAGGAATTCAAACTTCAAATTCAAATTTTCCACTTAACTAACTTTACTTATGTAGAAAAAATAGGAGGCAATAATTATTGGCCGGCCCTCTTGTTATTGACACTACAGTTCCATATAGAGGAAATAATTCAATTGTTGAAAAGTGACGTGTTTAATTTTTTACTTTAACAAACTAGCAGAAATGGGTAAATCAGACATATTAAAAGATTGTATATATCTATAATTAAAACTGACCGATGAAACTGATACAGATAGTTCGAAAGGTCAAAAAGCAATAGAACTTGCAGATAATCTAAATATAATCACGAAATTTTTCAAATCTAAATGCTCATCATTTGGAGTATTAGAATTTAAATATCAAAATAAATGAACCGGGTCATTTCCTAATATTACCGTGATATTAAAAGTTTTATTAACTTTGCTAGTTGCAGTAGCCACCGGGGAATGGTCATTTTCAAGATTAAAAATTATGAAAAACCTCTTACCATCAACTATGTCAAAAGAAAGATTAACCTGCAACAATATTGATTTGGAGGAAAAGTTGCAAGTTTGAAAGTTCAAAAACTGCCTTTGTAAAATTATATACTATTGTATTTTTGTATACTCGGGATAATTCAATATTATTGTATATTTTATATTGGACTTGAATATTATTTATTTTTTAATACGTAAATCTATAATAATACTTCCATAAATACATTTTAAACAATTGAATTTTTTACAATTAAAATAATGGAATTAAATCACACAACGTTGTTTCATACGAACTGTACGTTATATACTCTGCGCTGTCTCACACGAACTGTAACGAATTCCTTTTGAAAGCGGCAAAATGTATTTTCACCAGGCCAGCAAACCTGTGCGCGACGGCCCTGGCCCTAGGCACAGGTGCCAACGTTTCGGCCGCCATTCTGCGACCTTCCTCAGGGCGAAATGCCCGCGGCGTTTCCCGGACAACCAAGCAGGAACTGACTCCAGCTCCGGACGTCGACGCTCTCCCCTGAATATCACGTAGTCATATAAAGTAGATGTTTCTTAACTCTAATTTTCCTAACAGTTGTCACTCTTTTATTCACTTCTAGGGTCCAGGTCTGTGGGATGGATGAGGATGTACTGTGCGTAGCTTACAGATGTAGTTACAGAACCCGGAGGTGGGATTTCGGATCTTTTATTTAGGGGGGGGGGGGGGGGGGGCAAAGGGACCCCCACATAAGATGGTAAAAAGTTTCGCTAAACGTAAAGTGTTTATTATACATTTGTAATGAAAATTGTTCTGTTGTCCCAAAAAAACAATGTTTTTGATAATGGTACCGACATTATGAAGAAAACACAGTCGCTTTTATAATGACATAAAAGTGAAATTACTCTAATAACATTGAATATAACAGAAAATATTCAGTGGAGAAAAGAAGTTCTCTTTTTATGTGTACACTTGAGCCAATCATAGCGCATGTTGAAATTTATCCGGGAAGGGTCATCACCCAATTCCAGGGAGCGGAATTGTGTGATAAATCATACTCGAAGAATCGTGTCTGATTCGCCATCTGCATTGAGCTAGGTCACAATACCCCACAAAGGAACGCGAATCTTCAAATTGTGAAACATCAGAGAACCGCGATATACAACATTACTCTTCATCGTACATTATGCCCACCCGAAAGACTAGATGAAATAGAAAACAAACGTGCAGAGGCGCCATAGAAAGACCCCATAGTGACATCTCCCCTCACAAGACTGCACTGGAGAACAAGCGGCCCAGAATGCCAAGAAGAAATGGCTTTGCAACTCCACAAATAAGAGAGGAAAGGGAAATAATAATACACTAGTTGCCACTGGAAATGCTTCCTGCTTGCTAAATGGAATTCGAGGCCTTTCCAGCTAAAGACTGTACGACCAATATGATTCGTGTAATGAGTGGTGGCATGAAAAATGCATTTCCTATGAGCAAGGGAAATTTCTGTGTGATTTGTGAGAGAATTAATGTATAAGTCGATACTTTGAATTAATTATGAGATTTTTTTATCAGAGTATAGTTTGCAATTGAAAACTTTATAATGACCTTTTAGAACCTATGTATCACATTTAATCATTTCTTAATAAAGTTGATGTTACATTAATTTAATACGTATGGTATCTGTAAACATTATTAATTTATTCCAAAGGAAGTTTAGATATTTATATATTCGGACTTTTGTCCCTCTTGTTTTGGACTTTTACCCCGCACCTGCAGCAAATGACCCAACACTGCACTCGATTTTATGCGGGTTGGTCAAGCGTGCAACCTATGCACGAGCCGCCATTTATTTCTTATTACTATTATTTCTTATCCTACATTCCCATAATTCTACCAACCACATCATCGAGCAACCCTGGCTACATGGTCAAGTTCATCTTGAATATACGCAAATATGCGAAATACGCAAAATATGCAAAATACTTTGCAGTGTGGTGAATTTTGTTCATCAATAAGAAACTATATTATTATTTTTTAGTTTTTTAAATAATGCATCAATCTTATTACAAAATCACTAGTGGGAACTCATCTCATCAAAACTCAAGAAATCAATTGCCTCATTCGCTTTTGTGACGGTTTTGCTATTGTTAATTAAGATGTTTCCTTTTGTTGATCACTTTTTAGTGAATACCAAAAAGAAAGTAGCACTTGACCCCAACGTTTTGAAATATGAAGAGCTAATTCCAAGAATCACGCATATAATAATTACTAAATTATATTTGTCTTATAATGGACAATCTAATGCTGATGCCACAAAGAGTACTACTGTAAAGTTTCTACTGAATCTTGTGTATGAAATGAATATTCAATAATAGTCTTATATAAAATAATCGCAACTGTGTGGTTATAAGAGTAATGAATTAAGGAAAGTTACAATTTGGTAGCAGAGCGTGGTAATATAAAAATGAGAATCCTGGCTGAAGGTTTCTCATTCTCAAATATTGAACAATTAAACAGCAAGAACTTTGGACTTTCAAACTTGCGATTAAACACTCACGTCAGAGGGAAACATGTGTACGATGATGTTATCATGAATGATGAAACAAAAATTATAAATTCTGACAGCTGGTATCAAGAAATTGCAAGAAATCGTCAGTAACTCCTTATCACCACCAGCGTAATAGGATTAGCACATGTGCTTGTTTGTGATGTTTGTGAGTCACGAAAAAAAAAGTTGGTTCGTGGACTTTTCTTTAAGCCGCAATATATACTTTCATTGTGAGTAGAAAAGTTTGTAAAGCATAGGTGCGGGAGGTCAACATACTTCACACAGACACTACGCATTAAATTATGTTGTGTTTTAATATAGACTTATATTAAACTTTGTTTTAATTAATTTACATCACTTGTTTACGTTTTATTATAAATTAGTGTTTTTAATTTTGAAAATTACATTTCCATGATTCGATGGATCTGCAGAACCCATTTTTGCAGCCGCCTCTGCAATATGATACGATATAATTAATTATGGTACATCTTGGTGATGAATATGTTTTTAGCTTTCACACTATTAAAAATGGAAAATATATGATGTTATGAGAAAACTATTCAATAGTGTCGGTATTGTGATCAAAACATAATTGGTTATTGTGTGTTCTTGAAAGTGCTTTGATATACTGCAACATATGTACTCACCAACAGTGACTCAATTTGTTCATTTTATTAATTTGTGTGGATTAGGTGTACGTTTTACTTACGTGTATTTCAAATACCTTTGGGGTATTTCTGTTGTTTTTTTTATCTGGCAACAGTAAGTAGCATTTGTGTGAGAGGTGAGCGATAAATTGTCTACAAGTTGAAGTAAGAGAGGCGAAAACTAAGGTCCAATCTTCGCGGCAGCTCGTTCCAAGGCCATTTTGAGGACCTGGAAATAACACATGATTCATATCTCGTATCTCAGACACCTGACGAAAGAAAAGACGTCCAGAAAAAAACAACAACTGATCTTCAGATTTATTCCAGCTGTTCAGTCAGCTGGCTTAATATGACCAACTTCCTGAGCATTCGGCATGCCTGTCGTATGTTTTCAGGTGTAGTCCTAATCCTTAACTCTGTTTTTGTAGTAATTATAAGTACTAATAAACTTTATTTCCTAGAAGTAGCAAAGCGTTAGATCTTAGCTGCTTATGTTCCGTCATCTTCGATGCGTACGAACCACAGTTTGCTACACATTGGCTTCTCCCTCCGACTTCACTACATACACACGCACGCATGCGCGCGCGCGCACACACACACACGCACACACACACGCACACACAACCGTACTTAGCTGATAGATAGCTTAGCATGGTTTTAGAAGATTCGAACCGACGCAAATCGAGAATACACTCTGACCAGGAGCGAACAGTGCTTTAGCTTCAAACTTCCTGATATGTTTCGTTTAGAAAATCTATATCTATTGAAATAAAATTCACAATAAAAGAATTTGAGCTGAGAAAAAACACAGTTGAAGATGATTGTCCCATTTCGGGGCCAATGGGTATTCTATATGTGGGTTAATGTCCTCCAGAGATAACGTTTCTTAAATGAAGCAAGTTTTAGAGAAGACCTTGAGTAATGCTTAATTTAGAACTTTCCAGTGATTTTATTATCAGCCTGTGACTGTTTAGTGGAAATGTAAACGATATAGCAGTATTTGGAGTTAGGCCTCCGAGAGCTAGTGTATCAAGGGAACTCCAGAAGTCAGAGGTCACTGGAAGGGGAACTCTCAAAGTCCATGACCACAAAGATAAAAACGCATAGGGGAAGTCCATAAGGGATGCATTGAGTATATAAGCCATCATTAAACAAAAGCTCAGTAGATTTCTCAGCAGCTGATATTGGAGAGACTGAATTCGAGATGGTGAGTTCTTACTCTAGGCTTTCGTTATGGTGATTAATTTTGTCAAGTCGCTGATAAATTGCACACATTAAACGTTTTGAGAACATGCAATGTAGTAACGTCTACCCTGAAGAAGGAAAGTATTTCCACACTAAACTGTTCAGAATTTAATTTAGTGAACTTATATTTTGATGAATTCAAACTCGCGAGTTAGGTATATCTTCGAGTTCATCTCATCTTATTCTAATGACATATCCATGAAGATTAAAAGTCTTACAATTTTATGCTATGCGCGCACTGAGTCCTTACAATATTGACAGAGGAAAGGTGAGGACGAAGGTACAGTATGTACCGCATTTCTTAAAAGAACTGCGTCTACTAGATTGGTTTGGGTGTAGTAACGTGTAGTACAGTTCGACCACCCCAGTTTCGTAACTACTGTACAATTTAATTTCGCAATGGGGCCCTTTGACTTGCGTAGTGTGCGATCTGCAAGCTAACATAATAAAAGTAAAGAAGTAAACTAAGTAAGCTTTTTAGGGTCTTCACTTGCAGACATACAAACAAATTAAACAATTTCGTGAATGGTTGTTTTGAAGAATACCCCAACGTCATCACAAAGGTTCTTTCTCGATTTCTTTACGTTTGAAATATGAACATTAAATTATAATTTTCAAAATAATTAGATAATAGTTATATATTATGTTATGTAGTGAATATTTTATGTTGAAGTTGAAGAACGCTTAATATATTCGAACCCACACCCAAAAGTTTAAAACACGTATTATAGGTGCCCGATAAGGGAGTCACATACTTCATTCGGTTTGGGGAGGAAGTATCTCTGTACTGTAGCAATGCAATCTATAACAATTCTCATTAATTAAAATCGATACACAAGTTTAAATGGGTAAACTTTATTCTGCTGCATAATTATGTTTTTGAACAATTCTAAGAAAATACAATATATCTGTAACAAATATGGTATTATAATCAGATTCTAAATAAATCACTGCATCTCGATCGAAAAATTTGCACAGATTATACTTTTCCCTCACAAGTCGCATGCAGCGTTTTCATTGTTTTTGGGCGATATTTAAATACATGTTATTTAAATATACAAATATTTAAATAAATGAATATCAGGTCTTCTACCTACAAAGAGGGTTAAGCCTGGGGCAGGGGGCTCTTCTTCGGCGAACTACTGACCCTTTGGAGATGACCTCGGGCGTTCATGCTTTTAAGTTCAGATTTGTTCGTTGTTCTCATTATTTTTAATTTTGTTTTCAGTTAAATCCTAATTGCAATTTAATAACTCGAAAATTCCATGGTCAAATTAAATTTTGTTTTGCACGAATTTAATGCATTAATAGACCTTACTTCTGATGTGCATGCGAAATTACAGCACAAAGGAATCCTAAGCCCAAATTTTACGACCGAAAATTCAAGGTCTTAATGTTGATTCCAACAATTTTCGACCCTTTTGTACAGAATACAGAAGCAACGAAACAATGGATAGCATGTGAACAAAATTTCGAAATTAAGACAGTGTTGAGTATATAATAAAAAATAACATGTATTGCACTTCATAATTCATTGAACATCAATGAGAAATAATATATGATACATATAGTTACTAGTGTAATTGTTGATTCCCGAATAATGTTTACATAAGACCTCTGTGAGTGGTAAACATTTTTTTGCAAACCGTAGGAAGCGAAAATCTTTTTATTTTTTTAATTTTTCTTTCTTTTTTTAAATTATTGTTTCTCGTGCACAATCGTTGGTACAATGTGGGGCGACGATGTGCTCAGAATGTTCTTTCTGCAGCGGCAGCACTGGCTCCTGCGGCGCGCGGCAGCTGCGGTGGCAGCCGTGGCGGCGCTGTTGGCGGCACGGGCGGCGGCGGAGTCTGCGCAGTTGTGCGCGTCGCCGGGCGCCACCAGCGTCGTGCTGTCTGTGTCGACGCGTCGCAACGCCACGGGTCACTGGAACATCGCGGTGCGATAAATCCTCCACGCTACGAACGCGCGGCGGGGGGAGAGGAATCAACCTCGATGGAGTGTAAAAAAATCAACTGAAAGGCTAAAGTTCAAGAATGCAGGCATTAGTGGAGCCAGGGCAGAGGAGGCAGGGGCACTTCAAATTTCTAAAGAAGTTCAAGAAATAAAATAAACTCAAAATAATTTACAAAATATTAAAAAGAATAATACATTATATTTTTATGGAAATATTAGATATGTACATGGGGGTTCTTGATGCTGGCCACAGAATAAATATTACAAAGAGCATGTAGAGGAATCAAAGATGGTTATTTTTTGCCAATGAATGTGTGATAGGAACTTTCTTATAACGAAATTACTCATGCAATTTGCCATTGATTCTTAGACAATTTCGCAAGTGCCGGTGACATTTGTTCCTGATTGGCGCGTCATCACAAGCGCCAGTGTCCGGCAGATGCAAGAAATCTCTTTTACTGCATCAGAACGTGAGGTGCCAAACTCTATTAAATGAGAACTTGCTAACCATTGGCAAAAAATATCAGTTTCGATACCTCCACCTGCCCCAGGAGTTTGTATAATTTATTTTGAGTCATCAAGTTGTGCACTGATTCGTTTAGACAGTACGTCGTTTAGACGTATTTAGACAGTAATGTAAATTTAAAACTTCTTGCCCCACTTGGCATAAAGAGAAAAAAGAAAAGAAATGGCTCCGAAAATGCTTGCGAACTTGTCCGAGCCTGTGTTTTCTTAGTGCACGCCGACACGTCTCGTTCTTCGTTGCATAATTACGACTTATTTGAACTTTAGTTTCATGTGTTGGTAGTAGCAATCCTTATTGTATTTCAAAACACACACATGCTTGTCTCGGACCCTCAGTCTTCAGCTCCACGAACTTGATCGTAGCTCCAAGCCCTTGGGTTGCTGACGTCGGAAATACCAGAACGTATAACATTATTATTCCTGTTAGTTCACATCTGCTTTGTCTTTTGCTCGAAACTTAATAAATAAAACAATTCGTCACAGGGCCGTATATATTTGTTTCGTTCCGTTATTTCGGTTTTCGTTTCAAAATTCCGTAAATTCGATTTCGAACTGTAAGTAATAATTAACTCCCCCGCGTCGTAAGGTAGTAAGTATTTTCAGAATTTTATTTATTTATGTACAATTAGTATTATTAGTGTGTTATTATGTGTAGTTTTATATTGTAAGTTTGTACCGTAAGTTGTTGTTTTTTCTACTGTTGTTTGATTTTTTCATAGCGCAGAGAAACTTAATTCTTAGAGGAGCCTAGATTTGTGAGACTTGCGTTCCTTATGGAGTGCGTGTGCCGTAGGTGGATGTGCAGAGCGACGCGGACAGGCGTTTGAATTCGCGACCGCATGAGCGCGGCGTGGCTCTCACACTGGGCCAGCACACGGCCCTCTGCAACCTCACCGACTCCGTCCACCTCTTCGCCACGGCCTCCGGTAAGCGCGTCGAATCACCGCCCCCTACAGTAACTAGAGTAAACTCTAGAAAGTGGTGGTCGTATACACTCACAGAGAGGTTTTGGACGGCGTGAAACAAGGGAGTGCAAATACCGGGCCTTCTCACAAGCTGGATTCAGGGCTTCGTGGCCCGGAAAATACCCAGGGCATCGCCAGGGCCACTTCCTCCCTTCGCCCTTTCACTTTTCCCCTCTGCGGGGCGGACCGCCAGCGCACCGAAATGAATTTGCGATATATGCGGCGATTCGAGGAGCGTTCGCAGTGTGTTTCCGGCAATAAGGTGAAAGATATTGCACTAAAAATCTTGCCAACAAAACTAGCAGAAAATATTTGTTTTCTAGAAACATTCATTATCTCGCATACAATATTCAGTGATTAGTTAAACAAATACATAATCGAAGCATTAATTGGAAGAATGAGAGAATAGTATAACAGAAGTCCGTCACGTCGGACGAACACTACGAAGTCATCTTTTCGAAACGTAGCGACAAATATTGCGCAAGGTCCTTGCGGCAATCCGTGAGCCCCCGGCAGCCCTGGGGTCAGTGTTTTGGGCTGGCGTTGTACACGCAAAGTCAGGAACCTGTTCGAAATAGGCAGTGCGAATCAACAGGATCCAGCCGATAATTTTTTTGGGGGGGAGGGGGAGTCGATCAGGTTTTTGACCAGTTTCCCTGATCCATTGAGAAAATGCTGAGATGGCTCCTGTTTTGCTTCTGGACGTAAATGTAGCTTCACTATGCGCACGTTTTGTTGAACTCCTTTTGCTTGTAGTGGTAAGAGTAGAGGTACGGGAGAGTTACTATTTTGTTAGCAATGCAGAAAATAAAATCTGCAGTTTCGTTTACCGTTGCAAATAAGTTTTCTGTAATTCGGGAACGAAAAATGTCTAGTTTTTCAAATGTCGCTACTGTCGCGCTTTTTAAAAAAAATATTATTAGTATTATTTTTAATTTGTCTTTAACTTTTATTCATTTTTCAAGTATTTGTAGTTAAAATGATGGGAAGGGATTCTGAAACTCAATAAAACGTGTGCAGTTAATTTTCTCCTCCATACGTCACATCCAGGTTTTCTTTTTTTCTTTTTTTTTTTTTCCTTCATAAATGTAAATGTAAATCAGTGTCGAGCCAGCAGCCGCCCGCGGGCTACGAGCAGATGCTGGGCCTGGGCTACTACCGCGCCAACGCGTCGGCGCTGACGTGGATGGACGCGGCCAGGTCGTGCGAGGCGGACGGCGCCCACCTGATGGTCATCAACTCCGAAGTCGAAGCGAACGTGGTGCGCGAGTTCTTTGCGCGCAAACCTACCTTCAAGAACCATACCAGCGCCAGCTACGTGCAGCTCGGCTTCCACGACCGCTACAAAGAAGGAGAGTTCGTCACGATACGCGGTGAGCACAGCAGCCTCATCTTTTTACTTTCTTGCCGCCGCTTACGCACTAGAGGGAAAGATACATAATGCAGCGCGAAGAAACGGCGAATGTTCGGCTGAAAAACTCTTATTGCAGAACACTGGTAACGAAAAAGTGGATAAATCCAGTTGCTAAATTTAGAACAAAATCCTCTAACACGTGGAAACCATGAAAGCTAGAAGCCAAACCATCTAGAAACCATGTTTTGTGCGTCCTTGATACCGAAAAATCGATAACGGCAAAAGTTTGTCCGTCCGTCTGTGAACAACGCTAGCGGCTGAATCGTTCTGCCGATTTTCTCCAAAATTGATGATCCCCAATCCGTCCGATTGATGTCGCGCCCCCTTGAATTTTAAACCAATATTTTAATTCAGGGGAGTACTTTACATTTTGGAAATTTTGGAAATTTTTTGGAAAGGTTTTGGAAATTTTTTAGAAATTTTTTGGAATTTTTTTGGAAATTTTAAAAAAATTGCATTTTTTACAAATTATTGTTTCTCTCAACTTTCAAAAGAAAGAAAAAAGCATTTATTCAGGGGAGAATATTGGTTTTATTATTTTTTTCATTGAGGTACGCATTTTTTCTTTATTTTTACACTAATGTAGTAAACAAAAGGAAAATTAGTAACAACAGTATTTAAGGTGCAAATAACCCAATTAAATAATTTGAGTTTGCAAGCCCATAGGTTAATGCATGTGGTTAAGAGTTATTCATTTATAAGGAAAGAGGGTGTAAAACGAGAAATAAACATTTTTAAACTTCGTAGTATACACATATCATAAAATTTTATCTTTTGTAAGAACGCTAAAGTGGGCGCTATGATGACATCTTAACATTTCCCTGTTGGAATTTCAACGTTGCGTGAATTTAAAATATTTTTTTTATCTGAGGGGGATAAAAAGAGAAATAGGTTAAAAAATGAACATTCACTTACGTAAAGGAAGAGCTTGTTTATTGCTTTTTTACATTACTAATCAGTACTTTATTACATTACACTTTAACATGCCAACTCTTCGTCGTCGCTTTGTAAGAGGCAATTGTAGTTGCGATTTTCTTGACTGAATTAAAATTGCTTGTAAGTTTAAGGGATCGGGATCTGACGTTTATTTATTATAATAGGAATATTCACATGTTTGTTTTCATACATTTTTTGAATTCGTTGTAAACATTTGGTACGTACAATACATTTTAAGTGTAACGTACTAGGTATTTAGTGACCTTGTTTATGATCAGTTCTCTTCAAAATTTCTGGAGAACAAATACTCCCAAGAGAACATGCTAAGCAGAAAGTAGAAGTCAAAGTTAATTTCAGTATAGTTTACCGAAGTCAATAATAATAGTGACTATTCCGCGTTCTGTACTGATTAAAAAATGACTGAAAATCCTAATTACTAACCTCTAGTTGGCAGGTATCTCAGGCTTTTATTCAATTGACTTACTTGTGAGAATTACAAATTTCATTTCGCATAAAAGCCGTTTCGCAAAACAAGTCATGTTCTATAGATTGCGAAGGACAAATGTTTAAGTCATTTTGTTGAGAAACTCTTCGTTACTGCACAGCAGTTGGTCAATGCATTAATTAAGGATTTTAAATCCAGAAGCTTGTGCTTACGGCGAGTCGAGTCTGTAAGCATACTGCTAAGTATTACCAAAAAGAAAATTACGTTGTTTTAATACAAAAGAAACCTACACAATGGTGATTTAATCAATCTGGGGTGCGAATAACAACTGTTCTGTATCGAATCGGAGCGAGACGAAATTTTGTCTTTCCGATGTCAAAGTTACCTCGCGAGTCTATCGTCTGCTTCATGTTTTAAAAAAATTTTTGATGCAACTTATGTTCTGATAAATAAGGCTGCAACGAAATGAGTTAATTACACAAAACTCTTTTCTACGAGAATGTAGCCTCTGAGGACGAAACCGCACAGGAATCAATGTTAATTAGTGTTATTAAGAGGAGCATGATGTTATTTTTTGTTTATGCCTGAAAGGGCTCACTTGTCGAACTTACATTCGCTATGATTTTAACAAAAACGTACTCTTGTAAATAATTGTATTTAAAATGTATAGGTACTTCTCTGAAGGAAGAAGGTTACATGCAGTGGGACAGCGGTCAACCTAGCGGAGGGACGTCGCACAATTGTGGTATCGCCAACGCCTATGGCCGCCTCATGACTCATCCTTGTACCAACAGATACGCATACATCTGCGAGTTTGGAGCGTAGTTGGAAAGTCATTTGACTCTTAGGAATGCCACAACACCACATGCATCGCAGTTTTGGCCTGTTTCCTGACACGAAGTCACGATCTCTGGAGGGAGAAACTTGAAATTGGCAACACACGAAACAATGTGTCGTTTTTTAGCCGTCCAGTCATTTGGAACTTGTGGTGACTTTGGTACTCCAGTAGTTTGAACTCTCTACGTAGGAGTGAAAGTGCGCAGAAGAGAATGGCAAAGCAGACTAATTTGTTGGTAGCAGCGCGTATTGTACGCAGAGAGTTAATATAAAGTAAATAGAATGTAGATTGTACGTTATGTACACGTACAGTTCCTCAAAAGTATTCGTTGCGATAAATTGCAGCCCACAACCCTGAATATTTGTGTACACAAGACTACATCACTCATTAGTTTCTGCAATTTTTGTTCACTTTATTAATCTATGATATATGTTACAAAATTTGTAATGTTGATCTTGAAACTGTCTCTGTCAGAGGACTCTCACACGGTTCATTGGCACCAATATTCATCTGATGAGTATATAATATTGAAAATGGATCCTTAATCGTCTGGATCTATCTTGAACCACGCAGGCTGGTTTTACTGAGGAGAAGTATGACTCCCTGAGTGCCCTCAGTTGGGTTCACCAATACCTTCTATTACTAGTAATATAACAAAAATCAGTGGCGGTTGGTGCCCCCCAAAAATGGATTCTACGAATAGAATTTCCAAAATTCAGAACACTAATACATGTAAGCAACTCATGTGAATTCATGAAAACTAAGTTTAATAAAAATATATATTCAACATTATCTAATAAATAATTTACTTACAACCATACATTTACTATTACTTAAAAGATAACTTACATAATTTTCTGCACAGACTCCATGTCATATCTCTAGTACACATAGTTCCCACTTTCATTTCCCTGATCATTCCAGTTTGTATATTAGTTCTACATTGAGATAACAGCAGGTAATATAAGTCATACAAAATAAAAATGGACTAGGGTTCAAAAATATGGCAATCATTTTCTAGCACTCTGCCACAAGCACTACTGCTTGGGCAGGTTTTACAAAAGATCTTTCCATTGTTTTTGTTGTTATTGCTGCTACTGTTGGTGAAGATAATAAAATAAAATAATTTTATTTTGAAAATGAACCTCTCCTAGTAATGTTTGCAATGTAATTTTTGAGAAAGCTATCTTAGTGTGACATTTTGAACATATCCATAATTTTACTTTTTAAAGCGATATCAAATAATTATGTTTTCAAATATGAAGTACGTTTTCTTCAGATTTTGATTTATTTAATTTAATTAATTTTGATGTATTTAGTAAAAAAATAACACAGTAGAAACACTATGTGACATACGGGGGAGAAAATCAATGAGATCATGATGAGAAAATTAGGAGATGATTTGTCGGTTCGTAAACGGCAGCAACCAGAAACAGCGACCACAACGAGGGTTGTCAATGAACAACTATAAAAAAAACAACTTATCACAAACAGTAATTGTCGCTGGACATCTCGTATGCATATCTACGCGAAGTGATTGCACGGAAAAGCACGGAATGAACTACGGCCAGGGCTCTAATCGGAAAGGGAGTCTGTCTCCTATAGTCAACCTTTCCACAGAAGAAACATGAAATACACATTTTAAATTAACAAATCTAATTATAAAATGATAATAAATTCCACAAACATCCTCAATAATCCATTCGATATCGTCAAGATTTGACGGTATTAACTGAATTTTTTTTGACAAAAAAAATCCCATTCGTCCATGTACCTCCAGACAATATCCTGGGAAAACAAAACAAAGCTCCCTTCGAATCACACACACATAGCCATTTGTATTTACTATACTGTAGCACGTGCTCCGCCGCTCCCGGCGTAGCAACGCTTTTCCCCACCATAGCGCGCTCACAAGTTGGTTGTTTTTTCGACCCTATCTGCAATGGTGTAAATACCCGAGTCCAGCGCACTGCACCGCGCGGAAAAGCGAGGAACCATCCTCTAATTGGTTTCAGAAAATCCGAGAAAAAAGCGGGAAGTAGACACATTGTTTCTCCTACCGTGGCCCACGAGAGACGTCCTACGTATCCTACTCCGTGTGTATACCCATGGATTTGACTACAAACAAGAATTTTAAACGTATGTTCACATAATACATTGTGCTATTGTAGTTCTTTTCAAAACCATGCATTTTTATAGTGTACCACATCAATGTAACTTTATTGTCGCAAATTTTTGAATTTCGCATTTAACTAAGGGCACTTAATTTTTTGTATTCTGGAAAAAAACTTCCTCCTCCAGGACCCAATGATGTGTATTCACAAAGAAAGTTTTTACTAATTTTCTATAGTAATGAAAGTCCCAATTGAATACATGCCAAATAACTATAATTTAACAAATGGTAAAAAAAAAAAAACTTTTTAATTCATCATAAATTAATGTTTGTATACAAGGAAACATCAAGTTTGTTGGACACAGCAGTAGTGCACCCCCTCTCAATGTGTATAACCAAATTTACCGTGTATTAATTTTTTCCCAAAAGCAAAATAAAAAATAGATAGAGTTAGCAGTTGGTTCCACTTACAACTTAAATTCTAACAGTGCACTTTTAACTTTCTTAAACAATCATTTGTTCTATTTATTCAAAACTGCATTAATAAAAATATTTAATTGTCTAATTCTGTAAGTCTTGTTGACAACTGTTTTGCTAATAATTATGTAATCAATTGTGTTCTCCCGTATCACCAACTTGTTAATATTTTTTTTTAATATCATGTCATTTAAACTTCTTGAATATTAATAGCTTTATAGCAATTATTGTCATTATAAAGTTTGAATGTTCTTGAAAATCTTAATTTGTCACTTTGATATCTGAAGACTTGAGATATTCAATGACTACAGTATTATAGCAATACCAGTTGATTTAAAAAACAACAACACATAATCTATAAAAATCATTACTTATAATAATCATTGTGGTTCCCATGAATTAATTACTATTAAGATATAAAATTCAATGTTCTTTTGGACAACTGTAAATTTTAATTTCTCATCATAATCTACAGTACGTAATGTGTGTACACAGTATATGCAGATTTCTAAAAAAATATTTTACAAATTGAATGAAAGAAGGATAAATATATTTTTGCAATTGAGGAATAGAGATAATTAAATCAAAGTTCGTTTCACTGTATCTGAATCTTTACAGCAATTTGTTAATAAATAATTTATTTCCTTTTAAAAAATTCACCTTTTGATAAATTTTACTTATTCTTTTCTGTAATGCTTTGGTTGAGTGTGTTGATGTTTGTGGATGGAGGAAGAATATTTATTTTATTCCTCTCAGTTTGCCTTTGCAAGATGTGTTTTGTTTTCAGTTAATGATTTTTGCTTCCACAACTTGACCTGGATATACATAGGTGTACATTCATAGTTTTCTAACATTAGCTTTGTTTTAGTTTGAATAAGTGATTCATAGAAAATTAATGAGTTAGTAGGAAAGTTAGGTAGTAGAATGCAGTTCTTTCATTGTTTGCACAGTTAATCTAATTTCTGAGACTCATTGATGTATTAAAGCGTCCTTTGTCTTATGATAATGAATTGGTGGTGGGGGCATGCTGGGGATTGTCCCCTTAATGAGTTTCACCATCTCTATCTACGAAATAAGTAGGTTGGTAAATAATAGAAAATATGTAATTTGTCCATGTCAGCAAAAAAAAACTACTCTACTTCTAAGTGGTTCATTTATAATGTTCACACAGAAACATTAAGATCAAGGAAATTGGAAAATAATATTTCGCCATGAACATTCATAAAATTTATTTGTATTTACTATGCTGCATAAGTGAAGTTGGACATTGTTTCATTCATAATTTTGTGTATTCATCTCTGCCTGGAACTTTGAATATGAACACTTAAAGAAAATTCCCAATTTGTAGCCTGCCTATACTTGTAAATTAAATTTATATCCAAGGGCCTAAACTTAATTCATCTTTATTGCAACATTATACAGAATCTTTTCAATAGAAATGGAATGTGTTCATTCATTACTTGTTTGTTAATCTTTCTGTTTTATTTCTCTTTACGTATGTTTATGTAAGCATCATCTGAGTATTCTAGGTAGAGCTTATCATATTCACTGATTTCAGTGTATTCTTATTAACTCTCCATAATATTATATTTTTAATTTATTTTTTTATCTTATTTGCGTCCTCCTTACATTAGATATGAGACACATTTTATAGAGAATGTATTTCTTGGTATTCACTTGCTATGTTATATTTACTTGGTGATTGAATAATTATGTTGTTCAAAACTAATGTTTCATTCACATGATGTTAATTCTTCCTGTTTCATGACTTGTTTTTAGAGGCTCAGTATAAGATGTTAAAGAAATTTAAATTCTTACTTTGCTCTGCAGTCATTTTTGTCTTGGCAATTGAATGTCTTTCTTTCTTGAATAAAAGTATAAGTTTTAATTTCTCACTGATAAGAAATGCTCATTCCTGTTCAAAAATTGTCACATCTGAATGTTTCTTTTGAGATGTGATCATAATTTGAAGGCATAACTTGACTTTTTAAGAGATTTATTTAACAAATCTTTTCTTGAGAAAGCAAAAGGTTCTGCTGAATAATATCAGAAAGGAACATTGAAGGAAGTTGATTTGTCTTGTATCCCAAAACTTTCCAGAATTTGAATGTCAATGAACACAAAAAATTTTCTTTCATTTCTACTAGAATACTTGAAGATGAGTGTCAGAGACATTTCAGTAATATTTTTAAAATTAGTTTTTATTTAGATTTTGATTTAGTTTAAATCATTCCTTTTTCTCCATGGTCTTACAAAATGTCTTTCAAAACTACCTCGTGTTCATTCTTCCAAAACTAATCAAAATTTTAAAACTTGATTTTTGTTTCTTAATTAATCAATATATTAAAATTTTGTGATAAAAGTCCTCTAAGCATTTGCATTCTCCAACCGACAATCCAATACATCACCCATAGTAAATAATTGTTCTAATAAGATTTCTATTTTTGTCGTATTCTTTTTTATTTGTACACTCTTGCCGAACTAATTCATTTCATTTTTGTGCCTGAACTAGTTTGGGTACTTCATGTATTTTACATCATGCATCTCATGTTACCGTTCATTGGATTTGTGTTTCTTCACAATAGATGAATTACTTTGAAACATTCTAGTTGGTGGAAATTAAAGTTTCATTTTTTTCACAGTAACATTTTTGAACTCTGGATTCTTCCTTCCAGACATGAGGCAATATGTTGTTCCATTGTAGAAATAATTTATGAGAAACATGTTGGAAAGAAATAGATGAATAAAAATTCAAAATAAATTATTTAACATGTGTTAATGTGTTTGTAAATGACGACTTAAACTTTGGAGGATCAGGAAATACTGATTAATTTCTGGAGACTGGAATTTCTATTTGTTCTGAATTAAATTCTTTCTTAAGAGCTGAGTAATGCCTTTATTTTCCTTACTGTGATAATCACATTAAGTTTTTGAAAAATGTAATTGCATGGTTTGCCATTCATTTCAATGAATGCTGATGTTTAACATGAGTGTTACAATAAAACAACAATTTAAATCAATCTTAATGCAAGAAAATAAAAATTACAAACTCTATTACTTGCCAATAATTTTAATTTTAAAATGGCTCCACTCACTCTTTTCTTTTTCCACCAGCACAGAATGTTCTCACCACAATGTCTTCAAATCACATGTATCCAACAAATCAGTTATCCTTTCTCATGAAGTTTGTCCTAATTATAAACTATTTATTTACCATTGCTTTCTTGCTAGCATTTTTCTTGTGGTACTATCTTTTTCCTTTTAATCTTTCTATGTGTTTCTAACAGTTTTCTTACATTAAAAATGAGGATTTGTCAAATGAAAATGAGATGGACTTTTTATAGGATAATTTGAGATATTTTTTATATTGAGAATATAAGCTAATTAATCTTGCAGCTGTAGTTTTTCTCAGAATTTAACATATAATAGGTCATGCATTAATATTGAGATGCTATGAAGATAATTTTGATATGATGCCATTAACTTGTGTTGAATATGAAATATTATAGTTAGCATTGCATATTCATATGATTCAATTATGGATACGAACTGTTAGTTCTAAACTTAATTGTAGC